TCCTCCTTAAACGGCGTTATTTTTGCCTCCATTAGAAGCTGAATAAATCTGAGGTAGAACTCGACGCATTCCATGGAAGTTTTGCATTGTATGTTTATGACTCATTATTTCCTCCGGATGTGCGATGCATCAAAGAATCTTTACTCTTCGTTTGTATTGAGGCTTTTACTTCCATTTCTTGCAAAGATGACTTTTTGGGATAAATTTTGTACAGTAGCTATTAATTGAGTGCGAATTTGTGGAATTGCATAACTTGAATTTGTTTAGTTTTATGAACCCCAGCGAATTTAAATAAGTTCAGGTCTGACCGTCCGAATGCGTGTTGTGGCATCTACAGGCTATGCACTATGCTACCGATCAGATTCAAGTTCACATGTTTTATGTACCTTTGATCCTTGGTTAACTGCACCCTTTCTTAATTTAATTTATTGCTATATATTTATATATCTCACTTAGTCAAACTTGGAGATCTCGTTTTCTTTTGGCATTCCTTATACGGGTTTGGGCTAAAGCATATTCTCGTGTACTCTTTAATTATATAATTACCTATTTTTAAATTTTCTGTCTTATCAGACTACAGAAGGAGATTATCGGGATGCGCAGCAGCAATTCGTGCTGGATAATGCTGAGCATTCGCACCAAGTAGCTCAACTAACCTCCCAATTGGCTAATGAGGAGGCTCGCGTTCGTCTGCTAGACGAAAAATTGGCCACAGTCGAAGCCCGGTCGGTGGTTATCGCTAGCGAGGCAGCGGAAAATGTGCGGATTCATGCGGAAGATGAGGCTGCAACAATTAGGGCCGAGCAACTTAACCAGCTGGAGAAAGAGACTTCTGCAAGAGTTCGTGAATTAAAACATTGTGAGCAGGAACTTTTGGCCAAGAACGAGCAGTTATGTCGACAAGAGGAAAAGTCAACTACACTGGCTGATGAATTGAAGCTCCGCGAACAGGAATTGGCCAGTAGACTTAAGCAGTTGAGCCAACAAGAGGTTCAGATTTCTGCCAAATTAGAAGAATTAAAAATTCGCGAACTAGAGACGGTGGCGATCATCAAGAAAGTCAGTCGCCGAGAGGAAGAAATGGCTGCTAGAGAGGAAGATCTGAGTCGCCGTGAGCAGGAGGTGATTGTAAAAATTGAAAAGTTAAGTCAACAAGAGAAAGAAATAGTCGCCAAATCGGGAAGTGTAAAGCGCTGTGAGGAGGAAGCTGTGACCGTAAATGAACAGCTTAGCCGGCGTGGAGAAGCCTTGACTATAAGACTGAATGAGTTGGAACTACGTGAGAAGGAAGTGGCCTCTAGAATCGAGTATTGTGTCCGGCGGGAAAAGGAGGTTGCCACTGACGCAGAAGTTTTGATGATTCGCGAAAAAGAAGCTGCGATTTTGAATGAGCGTCTAAGCCGACTGGAAGAAAATATGGATATCAAAGCAGGAGAATTGAATAGTCGTGAACTGGAGTTAAATAAGAGAGATAAGCAGCTGAGCCGACAGAATGAAGGGAGTGTTGCCATAGCCGAAGAGATCAATCATTGTAAACAATCTGTGGAGGCCAGGAACGAAGAGCTGATGCGGCTAGAGGAAAAGATTTCATCCAAGGCGGAAGAGTTGAAGCAATGTAGTGAAGATATGGCTGCCAGAAATGAGCATTTAAATCGGCGGGAGGAAGGTATCATCTCCAAAGAAAAGAAACTGCTGCTCCTCGAACGTGAATATGCGTCGAGAAATGATAAATTGAATCAGCAAGAGATTAATTTCGACACAAGTCATGGAGCCTCGCGTCGTCGTGAGCAAGAAGAAACCGCCAAGTTAAGTCACCTCGAGGAAGATGTGATTGTTAGAGAGCAAATGGCTCGTAAAGACGATGAAACTGAATCTTTGGTTGAAATCAGGAATCGTCATGAGCAGAATACAACAGCTAGAGAAAAAAAATTAAGCTGGCGAGAGGAAGAGAGGCCTGTGAGAGAAGAGGAGCCTCAACTTTGTGAGTGGGAAACACCTACCAAGAAGAGGCTGGGCCAGCAAAATGCGGAATTAACTGCAAAAGTAGGCAAATTGAATATTTCCACGTCCGAGTCAGATACGCAAACTGGAGAGTGGCGAAGAGAGGTGGACCCACAAAAAGTCGGACCCAAAGAGGTGGGTGAAGGCAGCATTATCCCCAAAGGAGAGACTCAACTCGAAGTCTTGCTGCAAGAAAAACAAAACGCATTGGCATCCGCAGAAGCCCGATTAATCGAAAGCCAAGCCTCTGAAGGGGCATTGAAAAATTTATTATCCAAAGAACGGGAAAGGAGCGACGAGCTTCTCCAAGACATGAAAGTCTCCAAACAACTAGCCGATGAAAAGGAGAAGCTAGCTGAGTAAGTCGAATTTTATAGGGTTTAGCCTTTATAATGCTTGAGAATTACTATCCTAAAGGTCAGAATTCAGGACTCTTTTGGCTAACTGATTGTCTGAATTAATTTATTTTAATTAATTTATAATATTTTTAGGGGTATCCTTATTTCGTATGAAAGTGCATGCC